CTTCAGTTCCCAGCATGTGAGTCTTCAATAAATCGTAGACTTATTTGCACTTGTGCTCTGCCATTTTAAAAGAAGCATAACCTGGGTAGTGAAATTTGTTGTCTCTAAACCCAATGAGTACACCTTGCATTATATCCTTAAATGAAGGCCATAATTTTATTTTTAGTTATAAATACATTTTATAAACATATACTATACACTTACTTGTTGGATACTTATATTATGTAATGTATACTGTTTTAAGTTTCTCTATTACTTGAGATTAGATAACAAAGATAAGACTGCTTTTTTTGTGGTAGCCGTATTCTGTGTCACAGACTGTGATATAGCTTTGCTTTTAGTGTTGCGGTTTCCCAGGAGTTAAAAGCCACAACAGACATAAACAGTTTATCAATATAAATGAAGTATGCACCCCTGCATTCTTCAGACCACTATCTTGGAAAGAAGCCTTTCCCCAGGGAAAATTTGCATGCTGCCTCGTAGACCTGGGTAGAACCTTATCTGCCCTCAAACACATAGACTGTAGAGGAGGAGAGGGAAAGTATATACCTTAGGGGACTCCCTCCCCCGACCTCCAGTACTTTCACAGCTTTGTGAATCTACCTCAGAACAGCGGGGACTAGAAACCCCAGAACCGCGTGGGTGATTTAGCCCCGCCGAGAGATTTTTCCTTCGTGTTTTTAATGCGATAGCTAGAATTTAAGCTGCATGTGATTGGGTAGCCAGCACTAAGTTGCACAAGAAAGGGATTAGTCAGAGGTTTATCAACAAAGGGATATAAGAAAATGCAACGAAAGTAGTTGTCCTTTCTTTCCTTCTACTTCCCATTGACCTGAGCTCTCCCTGGGAGCACCTGGGGAAGGGACCCACCTGCCTTTCAGAGACCTGCTTGAAGATAAATAAGTGCTTTAGTTCATTTTTTGCATCAGGCTGAAGCAAACCAGCTCCTCTGTCATGATATATCTAGTCTCTGTCCTGGCATGCACCCCATCCCTTTTTTTGGGTGTGCAACATTTTTTCCAGAAAGGAGGCTATGGAAAGCTTCTGTTTGTTTTTCTGCGTGTTACACCACCACAGAGAAACAACCTGGAAAAAGATTGCTGCCCAGTAGGCAGCAAGTTGCAGTATTGTGTGTCATCGTCCCCGCCTCGCCCTTTATTTCTCCTGTTACTTTATGTAGCTGGAACCATCTTTGGGCAAATCGGATTTTTTGAATACCTAAAAAATTATTTTAACACGTTTGTAAAACAAACTGGCCTGCTGCAGCCCTCACTGCTGTGCTGGAACTGCCTGAAGTCAGACTAGGGCTGAACAGAAAATGGGCAGGATGATGAAGAAAATGTTGCAGGGCAGAGATAAGAGGTGAAAACAGAAATAAACGAGTTAAGAGTGTGTGGGGAGAAAAGATTTCCAACTGTGGTGGTTCTGAGCGGCAGATATCTGCTGGGCACCCTGCAGATACCATCCACAGACATCCAGGTTTCTTCAGTATGAAAATCAGGGTGCAACAATATTGTGCAACCAGATCTCACCCTGAAGGGGGGCTGGGATGCGAGTGGGAAAGTAGTAATTATTTCTAGGTTGTGTAATACAGATGCAGCCAGAGGGGCTGTGGTAGCAAGCCTGTGCCGTGCAAGTTACTACCAAGTAATTTCAGGATTATCAGCTATAGACTAAAAGGAAGTCAAGGCTGATAATCCTTTATATATATACTCTGTGATTACATTACTTTTAAAAAATGTACTGGGCATTCTATAAATGTCTTGCAGATCTGGTGCTGCACAGCTAACCAAAGGCTACAGCACTGACCGAACGCACCGACTCTCTAGTGCATCCCTGCCTTTTACTTACTCTCTCACCAAAGACCTACAACAAGTAACCAGAGGAAGATGGACATGGCTTCTTCCAAAATCAATTAGTGCTGCTCCCTGAATTAGCTATTGCTTTTTATGGGAAACTGACACTAGTATTTTATTTCTTGGGGATTACAATACAGGAACACTGACTGCTGATGGGCAGCTGTGGTCTACTAGGCCAAGTCTGCCAAGCCTACAGTCTGATCTTGCTGCGTGGCTTTGTTCCTCTTTCTCCTTGGTACTATGCAAGAGAGTATTGTGCCATGCTTGGGAAGTCCTGAGAAATACTTTTGGAAAACATAGTATATAATTAGTAGTAATAGTAGTCAAAAGACTAGGGCACCAACATTGAATTCAAGCCATTATGTTCAATCTCATCACTTCCGTTTCTTCCCCTTTCCTGTTCATGCACGGCTTCGCTTTCCCTGTTTCTTTGCTTTGTGCCTTCCCCATTTCTGTTTCCCTGCCTGATTTTCTTTGTTTTGTCACCTAAGAATTATTTCAGCCTTCTTCCTCCAACACGCAGAGGGACAGATGCGTAGCTACATCATTTATTCACTAATGACTGCATCAAAGCAATGCTTTTCCAATTTGGTAGCATTTAGCACTTTCAGCTTGCAGAATACTTTCAGACTTTCTTCCCTGGGGAGAAGCTGACAGAAGCCCTGACAAAGTCCAGTTGCTTAATACCTGCAGGAAACCACCCTGATATTGTTACGTCCAAATAAAGCATAAACCCCTTTGGGTCCTTGCTTATAACTTAAAAAAAAAAAAAAAATAAAAAAAATCAGCATTTGATAGCCCCACTGGAGCCGCACAGACGACCAGCACTTTACAGCACATGTAGAGAGCTAAGCCTCATGTTCTTTCTGTAGGCGAAGCAAGAGCAACAGGGTTAAGAATTAGTGAGATCTTAGTAACCTTAAATTTCTAACTTAACCTTTGGGAATTACTTATCTGAAGACAACCAAAGAGAATCATTGTGCTTGGAGCTCTTGTTCCCGTTACACCTTGTTGCTCCTGCACATAGCAATTCCTTCACATCCTAGGAAAAGCAGAGCCTTTCATGCTGTCAATATGGGTGACAAGTAGCATATACAGCTTGACAGCCTGCTCCCTCAGGAAACTAACAATGTAGATCTAGGCATAGGACAACACATTAACTCCTTTGCTCCATTTAAGATGCTCCCTAGTAAATAGCAAGGAGAATCCATTAGGCAGGAAGTAAATTAGGCAATGACTACAGCAATGAGCTATGCAGATTTTTTTCCCCCCTTCCCTTCCTTGTCCATTCTCCACCCAAGACCTAATTGATACTATTCCAGCAGACTAGCACATCAGTCTCCCACTTCTTCTCCACAACCTTAGTTCTGAATTCTTCCCTGCTTAGTTTTTCTTTCACTGAGTCATTCTTTTGCTCTGTTTTTGACTTTTGACTGTTGTACTGCTTTGTCTGCTGCCTTTTTTGCGTGCATTCCTACTCACTACCCTCCCACGCCTCTCCCCTGAGGCATGCCCACAGCCCAGCAGCCTACATGCCCTTTCTTGTTTACTCCTTACACCCTTTCTAATCCTGCGTGCTTTACCGGTCCCTCCACGCTCTGTTTTGCCTTCAAAATTCTGCTCTGCTTCTATCACCACCAGGATTTTTCTCGATCCCATGCAATCTGGCTTGTGGTTCCAGCCACTGAAATCTCTTCATTAAATTTGCATAACTGTATGGGCAGACCCCCGAGTACAGGGACAAAATCCATAATGCAAGAGAGCTCCCTTGCTGGCCAAGCTTATACCTGTTCTCCAAACAGAAATCCACTGTACCAGCAGAATTGCAACAACGCAACATCATCTATGCGCCATTTCCTGTCAGTTTAAGCACATCTGTTACAAGTGGGATTTCCTCTTCCCCACTCCCTGCCTCCTTATCCCAGCATTCATAACTACAGCAATAAAAACTTCTAAACATGGCCCAAGACAACAGCCATGGCAATAAGGCACTTTTCTTTCACAAACCTCTGAAATGCTGGTTGCTCTAAAACTTTATTTTCTCTCCTGGGGCTTCCACAGTTACCCTTTCCCCACTGCTTCAACCTCTCTTACGATTTCTTCCTGCTTCTCCCCCTCCTGCACAACAGATGAACAGGAATCGGGTGTATGTGCATACTGTATATTTGAAAAAAATAACGCATTTCAGTTCTGCCCTTTTTTATCATACCTCTAATCTGTTTACATTTTAGCAAGCTAAACACAGCTCTTCTGTAGCATTTGGCTTTTGGCCAGAAAATCTGCAATGAAGCTTTTTCCTGCTTGCTTACTTACTTTTTTTACTGCCGCCTGTACTCGAACTAAACCAGCACGGTCTAACCAGAACGAGCCATTACTTAGTCTTACTTCTGTAGGCAAGTTTAATCCAGTACACTTCATGGGCTTGGCAGCTAAGATTGCAGCGACTGATTGAATGCTTCATAAAGAAGCCACAGGTGCACTCCCCATTTATCCGCTGAGATCTCCTCCTTGTTTAGCAAAACATCATTTAAGTACTTATCTTCTCATTGTCCTCCCTGGTGTTTATTTTCCGAGGCAGCATCTCAAGTGTCTGCTACTAATTCACATCACTCTTAACTGGCCATTGAGCATCCTCAGCAACCTTTTGAAGCTAAAAATGCAACACAAGGTATACAGTTGAGGTATACACTTGAGCACAGGAAAGCACACACTGTTTTCTTACTCTTGACTACACCATTTCATTGAGTGAATGGGCTTTTTGGTGAATACAGAAATACACAGTTCTTGGTGCATATTCCAGTTCATGTAATATTCAGCTGCTTTATTCCTCTGGCATACTTATGGGTGAGGATATTTATGTAGGTAAAACTAAGTAATTTTAGTGCACAAAGCTGAGAGGGATGCAAAGGCATCATTTCCCCCCCTGTAAATGATACGTTCCTTTATGGGAGTGAGTATTGTCCAGTAAAACTGGTACAAGGTCCATTAATTTCAGCTGCTGTCTTTCTCAGTGACAAGACTAGGCTGTGGATCAGATCCTACACGTGTTTATTTTTAAAATCTGCAAAAAATGGAAAATTTTTGTAGTTGCATTTTAAAATTGCTCTGCCAAATCAACATGTTTGGGTTTGTTTCAGATTCATTGTCTCAATGGAAGCAGTACCAGCCTGGGCCCCAGCAGTGGGTTTCACACTCTTGCCCCATGCAGGAGGATTTTTAGGAAGCAAGATAACCAAAAAGGAAATCCCAGTGTGGTATGAATCTCTACAGAAGCCATCCTGGTGTCCACCTAACTGGGTGTTTGCTCCTGTTTGGGGAACTCTCTATACATCTATGGGGTATGTTTTTCACATTGTATTACGGCACTTACCTGATCTCAGAGTTGCTTATTGTATAATGCCGGACTAGACAACTACTACTGTATTACTGTGGCTGTATGTTTGTAAGAAACTGTCAAGCTGCCGATTTAACAGGTAAAAACATGTTTTGGGAGTCATGTGTGGGTTTGATGGGACATTTTGTGTGCACAAGTATCAACATCAAAAGCGGGAGTTTGAAAAGCTGCCATTCATTCTGAGGGAAGACCTGCCAAGCTGGCAGTGATGAAACAAGGCAGCACTGGGATTTCTTCTATGTATGTCCTTCAGTAGTTTTAAGAAAATAAAAAGAAAGGGCGGGGAGGGGGCGGGGTTGGGATAGAACTGTTCTGACAGAGCTCAATTAAAAGACACCAAAATCAAAATATACATGTCCTTTTGAATAAAACTGCCAGGCTGTTACACTGTAAATGTTTGAAGCCATATACTGCCTCCTTATTTAACTAGTTTAAAATACCTGACAGCACAGCAATTACTGTCAAATGAACAAGGAATCACAAAGCCAAATAGCATTCCCACAGGAACCTTAGAAGTTTAATAATACTGTATTTTGGCAGCTGCTACTTTTAATAAGATGTAGCAAAAATATTTTGCTGGATGTAGGTTGTCTCAGGAGATTGTTTGGGCAGTTTTGATACTCCTCACAGACTGCTCTGGAAGCTGTCCACCTAACATCATGTGCTTTTATGTTAACTCTGGTGAGCTGTGCCACAGAGAGGTAGAGCCTCAACAGAGGTCGGTGCAGCCCCCAAGCACAGAATCACAGAATTTTCAGAGTTGGAAGGGACCTCTAGAGATCATCTAGTCCAACTCCCCTGCTAAAGCAGGATTGCCCAGAGCACATTACTCAGGACTGCATCCAGGCGGGTCTTGAAAACCTCCAGAGAAGGGGACTCCACAACCTCCCTGGGCAGCCTGTGCCAGTGCTCCGTCACCCGAACCGTAAGAATTTTTTCTGTGTATTTGAACGGAACTTCCTATGTTCCAACTTGTGCCCATTGCCCCTCATCCTGTCACTGGGAACCATTGAGGAGTCTGGCGCCATCCTCCTTCAACCCACCCTTTAGATATTTGTAAGTAGTAATAAGGTCTCCCCTCAGCCTTCTCTTCTCCAGGCTAAAGAGTCCCAGCTCTCTCAGCATGAAGCGATGCTTTGTGTCTCTTCTGCACTTGGTCATTAAGAACTAGCTACATACTAAGATTCAGCATGTTTTTTCCTAGTATCAAATACACGTAGTTGGTAATCCAATAGTCATAGTTTTGTAGGATGGAATATGCCTTTTATGGCTTACCCCTCCCATTTGTTCCATCATGACAGTACATTTTAAGTGATTTGTAGTTTGTATATAGCACTGGCTTAACTATTTAAAGTTTCAAAAAGAAAATCTTTTCCGAGGTAACATTACATGGTCACCTGCAGGTTATCTTAAATACCACACCACCTGTTGCAAAATACAGCAATGATGTAATGTCTAAAACTGTATGTGAATGCTAAATTGGCTCTCACACATTCATTTTGGTTTCATTTTTTTTCCAGCAAAGCTTTGTAATTTTTATAGCATCACGTACCCTTCCTCCTTTTCCATCAGTATTCTTTTCTTTCTCCTCTTACAGAGTGTACCTTTAAAAATTGTTCTATGCTCTTGTATATTCCAAGAGTTAGCATTTGAATCAGATCATTACTGTCCTGTAGATAAAAAAAAAAAGCGCCTTTTATCAAAAGGGACAAGAGCTGAGCCGCTTTCCCATGAAGGGCTTCCTTCAAGTGGACTGCGTAATTCGTAACCCTTTTTCTGGATTCCTCACCATAAACCCGGACATCAAGCTAAATATTTTAAAAATCCAAGTTGTGACAGCTTAGGACTTACTTTGATAATATCAGAATCGGTATATTCTGAGGTGGATGGCCCTGGTTATGTACTATACCTCTAGCTCAGTGAAAAGATCATATTTATTACCAGGCCTTTTCTTCTGTAATCCATCATATGCACACATTCCTTGAATGATCCAGATATCTCATTCCTGTAGAATCTCTTGTATATATTAAAAGCAAGAAATAACTAAAAGCAAGATTTAATAAGCGTACATGCCTTTCTTGACATTTAGCTTCCTTAGCAGATTTGTATATCATGATCTTGGTCTGAAGTCAGTTAGATGTACGAACAACTCTAAGTCCACACTGTGGCTCTGTAAATCACTTAAGAACAATTTGGGTCCTGATGCATTTTACGAAGATAAACTGTTAAGTTTTTAAGGCTTACCCTGCCTTCCCTTTCTTTCTTTCTTTTTTTTTTTTTTTTTTTTTTTTAATACTTTCTGCAATCAAAGCTGCATTGTTCAGTCTCTATGAAAGTAACAGCCAAGAAGCATGCTTGTGTCACTAACTGGGTTAAACAGAAAAAAAATTTTGCTTCTTATATGACCTACAAATGAAGACAAACTCCTTGCAATAACTCCTATGGATGTTTGTCTGCTCCTAAAAAAATAACGCTTACAAATTGGTCTCCATCTTTGCTCCACTGCCAACAGAAACACGTAGGAGCCACCTGCCGTCCAGCATAGTGCACAGTCCAGCTGGACATTCCTACCAGGATGGAACCAGTATTCAGTTACTAATTCTGAAACAAGGGTTTAGTTCCAGATGTTGGCATTTTATCCAGGGGATTCTCCTGTTGTCAATTGGAATGGCTGTGTAGTCATCTGGATTGAAACCTAGCTAATGTCTAAACGGAAAATCAAAGAGGAGCAAAAGAAATAGTCTTAGGTGATGAATGCTCCCTGTTCTAATCAGGTTCCTTCGGTGCAAAAATAAACCTTACATCAGTAAATCTCCCAAATCCTGAGAATTCCTGTCTTCAGCAGCTTACGTTCTGGGATCCCACCAGCAAACTGTTCTTCTGTGGCGTTAAGCCCTGTTCAGAATCTTCAAAATATCTTTCAGTAGCCAGGATCCTGCAGATAGATGGGTAAGCATTAAAAACTTAATGGTTTATCTTCGTAAAATGCATCAGGACCCAAATTGTTCTTAAGTGATTTACAGAGCCACAGTGTGGACTTAGAGTTGTTCGTACATCTAACTGACTTCAGACCAAGATCATGATATACAAATCTGCTAAGGAAGCTAAATGTCAAGAAAGGCATGTAAGGTGCTAGATGCTCCTTGTGGTTAATTCTTTCCACAGAACTCCTAAAATCTTTGCTCTCCCCATCTTTGTCCCCTTCTTTCTGAAAAGTGACTACAGGGTTCCTCCTGCTCTACCACCATCCATCCCCATACTCACCTGTGCTTTAGGATGCCACTCAGTTCCTATTTCTCCTATATTCATGTCATCCACTTAGAAAGTTAGTGGGTTGTGGGTTTGTTTTTTTTTTTTTTTAATTTATTTTTAAAGCACCATCTCCCAGTACCAAGAGTTTCCTCACTATCTACAGACTTACCTTTTACCCTTGCGTCTTAGATTTGCTTCCATTTCAATATGGCTTTCTCTTTTGAGACTGAAATGCAGTAGTTCATCTGCTCCTCTGCACCTAGAAGCAAGAACTCTGGCAGGACAGGGAATTTTTTGTCTCTCCGTACTGCGATCTGCAGCAGGTGATCAACCCTGTGCAGTCGCTGTGCCAAGTAGTACCCGGATACCCACTTTTCCAAATAAATTTAGACCCTAGCACTGAAGTCCTTTCATTTGATCAAGAATGTGTGGTCGTTTTCTAACCAGTGTACTGAATTACACCTTACTTTTCCTTTCTCCAGATACGGCTCCTACCTGGTGTGGAAGGAACTGGGGGGCTTCAATGAAAAGTCAGTGGTTCCTCTGGGTCTCTATGCGGGGCAGCTGGCATTAAACTGGGCATGGACTCCAATATTTTTTGGAGCTCACAAAATGGGATGGGTAAGTGGAAAAAGTAAGTTTCTTAATCATAGGCTTCTGCTGTCATTTGCAAGGTACTAAACTGAAAGTTTTATGTTATTACCTTTTCTTCCTGAAAATGAGCCTGAGTACAGAATATGGCTTGCAGAAGTTTTCCAAAATTCTTTTTAAGGCATGCCAGCAGCCACCTTAGAGAATTTACATATCTACATCCTTACATGTTTAAACTTCAAGAAGCTCTTTCTGCCACCCTTTGATAAGAGCTTTTGTGTGACTAGAAAATGTAAACATTTGTGCCTCACTAAAATTCCTAGGTATCTTGGGCAAACAGCAGTGATAAGAAGCTTATCACAACATTACTCAGGTAATCAGCACCCATTTTAGACAAGACTAATTTTCTGCTGTCTAAAGAGAAACAGCTTGCCTCAAAACCAAAAATAAATAATAAATAATATTTGCCTAGTTCTCTAAATACATACATGCAATGCTGTAGTAGTGGAAGACTTTGCAATCCACCATTGATTCATTCATACCGCATCTCTTCAGGTAGCATCTATGACATGAAAAGACAAAGTGACTTGCTCAAAGTCACACTGGGTTTGTAGTCAATGTAGCACTTGCTGCTGCCAAAAAGAGTGGGCAAGAGGGATTTTATTCTCCCTCTCCTGCTCCCACCTGCAATGCCCTTTCTTGTGACTGTTGTATCGTTTTAGGAGTCAATTCAACTCATAACTCAGCAAAAATCTGTCTTTTTTTTTGCTGGCTGGTTTTCTGAGAAGGAATTAACCCACAAAGGGATCCACCAGAGCTAAGTGGAAAGAGCCACACAAAGACTATCTGGTCAAGAAAATGCAGCAAGTAAAACCAACACTAACCACCTTCCTGTATTTCAGGGGTTGGTAACTCTCCTGCTCACGACTGGTACGGCAACAGCTACAACTGCTTCCTGGTATAACATCAACAAAACAGCGGCTTATTTGATGGTTCCTTATTTAGCTTGGCTAACCATGGCTTCTGCACTCAATTACCGTGTCTGGAAGGACAATCGCAACAAGAAACAATCTGAATAAACAGTTTTCAACCAAGCTTTTTTTTTTTTTAAAAAATAATTTTCTAAATAAAGTTATGGCCTTATTTTATTTTTAGCTGAACTACTTACAGCATTAGTTTGCTAGTGACAAGTTGACAAAGCAGCACTTGTTTGAAACAAATACGTCTTTACTAGGCAAGTCACAAAGGGGTGTATGCCTGACTGGGTTTTATAGCAAACTAGAAGATAGCCTTGATTGAAAAATACTAGTTTTCTATATTACAGCATTACATTTTATATGAGAGCAGCATTTTAACTATTATCTGAAATAAGCATGAACTCCAGCTTCATTTTGCTCAGAGGAAGAAATCCAGCCATATATTAACACAGCTTCCAGAAAGTTGCTCTTAACAGTGACAGGCATGATTGTGGCCTGAATCTTTTACGTTTACCACTAGACACATGGCTTTAGTGCTGTGTGTCCCACTGCAGCTGCCAGATGTTTATCTTCTGGACATTGTTCTCTGGAAATATGAGATTTTTTTTTTCCACAGTTGGTGCCTTCCCACTTTGAAGCATTGTACAATCTAGTGTCAGCTAAATGCATTAAACTACATGTAAACTTACAAACCTTGTTCCTCTGGTTTTTACTGTTTTTAAATGATTTTGTGCAGAAAAATACTGAAGGCAACAGGATGCTATAAGCCTCAAAGATAGCCTCTTCATCTCTTCTCCTCACCATTGCAATGGGCAAGAAAAAACAGGAACTTCAGAGCACCCGGACAGAAACTGAGAGTACCCAAATATTCAGCAGCCCCTGCATGCACCTCTGAGGCATTAGCAGCACTGGCTAGACAGCACTAACGTGCTCCACCTGTACCCTAAGCATGATGCCAGTTCACCACCAGACCTTGACAGCGGAGCCAGCAGCCAGGCCACAGGTGGGTCTGTTGCCCAGCAGGGCTGTACGTACACTGTAGCTACTGGTGTCCTACCCACACCTTCTCACTTTAGCTGCTTAGAAATAGAAACAAGGGTTTCTCCTCAGGGTTATGCTAGGTGATGTAGTAAGGTCTGGGATGCTTAGTTCAACCAGTTGCTTCCTATAAAATACAACCATCTCTTGTTTAAGACTACAACAACAGACTGTTTTTGCACACAGCTTGTGGTCCCACTGCACAGTCTTACTGCTTTTAAAAAGTCATTATTCTGGTTTGCTAAGCGTGACATCACTTTTCCTCTTGTGATGAGGGAAACCTTCCCCTTTACTCTAGATCCACAGTTATACTTTGTTACATGTTTTTTGGTATTTTGAAGGCAGAAAGTGCCTTTTGCTCTCCTACAAGTGAAAAATACATCTGCTGAACAGCACTGCATGTCCCTTTACATTTAGTCTCACGCAGCCCTTACGGTAACTATATTCTGTATCACAGACAAACTTTTTCCCTGCACCAGAATTAGTCACACCATTTATGTTAAGCACTTCACCATGTTTCTTTAATCACACTGAAGTAAGGAGTCCAAAAAAGTTCTGACTCATGAGCAGGAGAGCGATATGGCTGTCAGCGCCGCTTCTGGCTGTGCAATCCAGCTCTCCCTTCTGCCCCACCTGTGCAATGACTGAATTTTCTTAAGACACAGATGGTTTATTTCTCCAGCCTATGTTCCATTCAGTGGAAAAAAGGAGGTTTCCGCAGACCAGCCTGAAATAGCCCAAAATATCCATCTCCCTTCCTGATCATGAGGTATAACACGTGGTATATTTGCAAAGCTTGAAGCAAAGCTTAGAACATTTATACAATTTTATAACTATACTTCACTCTTAAGCAGATCCAATTGCTCCAACTAGCTTAAAAAAATACTACCCACATAATACATACTTCATGAGGGACAACAGAATTTTTGCAACTTGTACATACATACAAAGCAACATATATATAGCCTAAAATTTCTAAGTTTCAGCCAGCTACCCTGATCTAAGGAGGGAGGAGACATTAGGAATGATTAATTTCAAACTGACATGGCACTCTCAAATAACTCTGAGGCCCTAAACTTTGAAGTCCGAAGTTTGCTTGGGCTTCTAGCAAAGTTTCCTAGATCTCTTTCATTCCTCCAGGCTTCTGCATTCCTGTGCTGCTCTAGACATTGCATCCTTCTTACTTCCTGCCCGACCTGTTCTCAAAAAAAAAAAAAAAAAAAAAATTAAAAATCACGTTTCTTTAAGGGGCAGGCTAGGACAGCCAGCAGTACACCGTTTCTAAATATTGTGGGATTTGTTTGTCTTTTTTTTTTTTTAAATAGAAAAATTGTAAAAGCCATCATTTTTTTAATCCCATTACCCTAGTGGTTCATTGCATTTCCCATCAGAAAATTTTAGATCTTTGAATAACTGATGGAGAGATAAGAAAGAGTTATACAAACTCCAACATGATTCAGTAAATTATAGTTTTAATGTTGACATGGGGAACTTGCACAATGTTTCCCAGCAAGCAAGCAGTCAGGGTACCTGAAAAACAAGTCAATTGCTCCAGTTACTGTCCTATTTTGAGGTCTCCCATATTCAATAAACAACACATGGTCAACACAAACTGATGACTTATAGAAAAAAGAAGACAAGAAAAATGCAGACAAAATGATTATCAATACAGTATATGGCATATGCATATTCTTCTAATATAATCTTTTTTTCCTGGGTTACCAATATAGGAAAATAATTGCATCAGCAGCTCATAGAACTGAAATAGAAATCTTGCTGTCAAGCATATCTGGGAAGGAGATTTATAATAGAGTCAAGCCTCCTGTGGCTAGACAATGCACGTCACATGGCAGCCGTCTGTTTCATCCAGAAATAGGGTGCTGAAGACATCATTAAAAAAGGTAGGGTGGTATTTGCAGGCTCTATCACAGTCAGGATTAAAGTTCACTTCCAGGATCTGAGGCTGCATAATTCTTTTCCCTGTAAAGAGGAATACAAACATTGCCTCTTAATACAAGCTCTAGAGAGATCCTGAATCACTACTTGTCTTTAAACCAGAGATTATAGAAAGTGACTGGAAAAGGCCATTTTTTATGGCCCAAGCTGGCAAGCCAGTAGGATGTTTTTGTTTCAGTGGGTTTGGTATTTTTTGGAGGGACTGAGGTCTGCTCTACCATCGTTATCCAGAGGACAATTACCCAATAGACTCTGCAATCACTGTGCTAATCAAATACCTCATTTAGATTGAGAATTTGCAGCAATTTAATAGGATCCCCCTGATACAGGTCTTGCTTGACAGTTTGAAACATCTTCCAGAAAACTCTGCTTATTCTTTCACATTTCTTTCTTAAAGCTCTTAGATATCTACCTTTCTAGTTCTAGCAGTCCTGTTCCTTTACGCTTCAGCCACTCTCACCTGCCACTTCACCTCACTCCTAGAAGGAAGTCAGGAAGTTTAATTTTCTCTTAAAATTTCATCAAGACAGTTCAGAATCAAATGCATTCTGTGCAGAGAGAAACAAAAGGATTTTATTTCCTGTCTGGTGTTGATATTGTAAAGTGAGGGTACAAGCTTCTGATTCACAGGTAAACCATACTCTACACAGAAGCAACTAAACTATTTGTCCATAGGCTGCCTACAGCATCACAGCCCTGGCTTTTGCACCCATGCCTGCATCTCCCAAAGGCTAGGGACCTGCGCAGCTCCTGTTCAGCCAGGACTGTAATGTGAGGTTGGTTCTTTTACTACAATAGTTTTCCTCGAGCTACTAAGAAGTTGCTTTGCCTCTCCCATTCAATACAACTCTGGGACAGGTGAAAGAGCATTCAACATGGATGTAGCAGACCCAAATTCAAACCCTTGCTCCACCTGATCTGAACAGCAAAGGCTCAATTCTACACCTCCCGTTTCTCAATCATTTCCCTCCATTGAAGTGATTCAGTATTTACAGAATCAGCCACTGCAGCAGTGGGCTAGGGGCACCGAAACATCTAGTCACTCCTCCAGCAAACCTGGGCACAAGCAATTAACTTCTCCTGGGTCCCACAGACCACAATATTACAAGAAAAGAGTACACTCAGTCCTGTTTAATAGTCCTCCAATAGTCCTTTTTGTGTTGGTGCCTCTGCTGCTTTTCTACGCACAAGAGACATATGTCTGGGTTGGGCTTGCTTACAGAACATTTTTGAACCTCTTGGTGAGATAATAAAGAATTCACCCTGTTTGGCAAATTTTGCTACCAGTCCTCCACAACTGACTGGAAGAAAGTCTCCAGGTAGTTACTGATGCTGTGGCATTAACATGAAGCTGCTGCACATACATGTTCTTGCAGAGATTTGGCAACAACTGCATGATGATCCTGAGGACATCAATAGCACTGAAATGGTGAATGTGGTCTCTTCTCTGCTTTAATAAGTAACTGTGCATTGAAGACACTGGTCCAAGTCTGGAAGCCACAGATAGTAAGATATCTCTTTAAGGTTTTTGATTTTTATAAAGAGACAGGTATTTCAGTCATTCTCTCACCATAAGGGGGAAAGAAAACTTGCTGTTGTCAGAGTGACTAGACTGCTGTACAGTTGGGGTTTTGTGTGTGCGTGTGTGTTGGTTTGGTGGTGGGTTTGGGTTTTTTTGTTTGTGGGTGTTTTTTTGTTTTGTTTTTTGTTTGTTTGTTTTTTTAAACAGAGAATGGCACTAGCAGGGGCATAAGGGAAGCAAGGACTCAGCCAAGCACATTTAACAGCTCCCCCATCATTCCTGTCAACCAGCATGGCAGATGCTAACCCCACAGATCAAAGCATATCTGGACTTGCAGATATCAGTGGGAGGCACAGAGCACACAGCTCTCACTGCCTGAAAAACACTAAGAGTTTAGACAGAAGAAAAATTTCTGAAAAGGTCCACAAATATAAAGAATTCAACATTCAAAGAAATGAGCTTCTCACCATCTCTGTTGGTGTCCCATTTAAGCATCAAGTCAATGGCATATATTGCTCTTGATGATGGATAATCGCAGACGCCAAGAGGTGCAGGTTTAGCTGAAGCAACTTGGAACAATTCAGCAAATGCCTTAAAAATATTTGCCTAATAACAGAAAAAGGTCTCTGAATGAGAAGTGAGGTTCCATAAAAGCAATAAACATGTTTTTAATCACTTTATTCATACAGCTTTTTAAAGAGTTTGTATAAATTACTGCACAGATTTTCATCTGTTCGCTAGTGTATCAGCTTCAAAAGACCGAAAGACAACACAGTGAAAGTGCCAAGCACCTGGCAATATCAACGGAC